GATGGCTGGGGCTGATGGAAGCTAGAGTTCAACATCATCTGCAGGAGGGGGCCAATCACAGTGTTGCTGCAGAGTACCTGCAGCCTGCTGGGTGATGCAAAAACTAGGCATCCGATGCAGCTCAGTAACGCGAAAGGTGCAAATGCACCTCCTTAATTTATCTCCCCCAATGCTTTTGCATCTTTTCACAGCAGGTGCAAAATAAACTTTCAGAACATTTTGGGGAGAGAAACCTGCTGGCCAGCCCTGGAACCAAAAGTTCGCCTTTCCGATAACCTGCAAGACAGGAAGGGACTACGTTTCCAGCACAAATTTCCTTTGTCTCAAATTACTTGCTGCGTTTGAGTTGCAGATGACGATCCCTCTTCAACCGCCGGCAGGCACATTTTATGTCCTCCTCATCTAAAAGGGCTGATTCCATGAAGCTGCCCGTTCCAGTGTAAAGTGATAAGAATAAAAATGGGTTAAAAAAAGTTTAATAGATATGCCATTTCTCCTTTTAACAAGTAAGAAGGGGGCTTCAGAGCTCATTCGAATCCTATTATTATGCAAAAGAAATCCATAAAACTTAATATCCTTGGGGTATCCTAACTTTTCTGCTTGTATTACTCCACCAGCCAGGCCACTGAGCCTGTCCCAGGCAGACCTGATTTAATGTGTCGGGGTTTGAATTTATATGCCAAACTTCATAGTTACTTCTGATACTTTGGAAGTGGCTATTCAGCTGAAAGTGCCGTATAAACCCCAATTAAAGCAAGATTTGAGTGACAGGGCATAGCTCCAAAGCAAGTTTCTAAGTGGTTAAGGTTGAAATATTTTGTGAAGCGGTGTTTTTGGAGGTGTGTGTTTTGTGAGGGAGGGGGTGGGCGTTAATTCCAAAAACCTTGGTAAGATAAGAGCATACCGCCTATGTTCAAAAAGCGAAATCCTTGGGGGAGAAAAATAATTACCATGGAATCTGCTGACAAGAATCTTTCGCTGCTTTTTAAGTAAAATGTTTAGTGATAGGTATTCATGCCTTCTTAAAATCACACACTTACTTCAATCTCAATGGCAGATAAAGTGGTAAAACTGTTCCTGCACTGTACCACATCAGAGCCTCCAAGTGTCCCTATTTTCCAGGGATGTCCCTGGTTTAGAGAAGCTGTCCTGGTTTCTGGATCTGATCCCGAAATGTCCCGCTTTTCCTTAGGATGTCCCTATTTTCATTGGAGAAATGTTGGAGGATATAGATTTTTCCAACCCCAAGCCATTTGAAGGCAGCCCTGTAAAGGGAAGCTTTTTAAATGTTTAATGTTTTATTATGTTTTTATATATGTTGGAAGCTGCCCAGAGTGGCTATGGGAACCCAATGAGATGTGTGGAGTATTGTTGTTGTTTAGTCATTTAGTCGTGTCCGACTCTTCGTGACCCTATGGACCAGAGCACGCCAGGCACTCCTGTCTTCCACTGCCTCCCGCAGTTTGGTCAAACTCATGCTGGTAGCTTCGAAGACACTATCCAACCATCTCGTCCTCTGTCGTCCCCTTCTCCTTGTGCCCTCCATCTTTCCCAACATCAGGGTCTTTTCCAGGGAGCCTTTTCTTCTCATGAGGTGGCCAAAGTATTGGAGCCTCAGCTTCACTATCTGTCCTTCCAGTGAGCACTCAGGGCTGATTTCCTTAAGAATGGATAGGTTTGATCTTCTTGCAATCCATGGGACTCTCAAGCACCATAATTCAAAAGCATCAATTCTTCAGCGATCAGCCTTCTTTATGGTCCAGCTCTCACTTCCATACATCACTACTGGGAAAACCATAGCTTTAACTATACAGACCTTTGTTGGCAAGGTGATGTCTCTGCTTTTTAAGATGCTGAGTAGGTTTGTCATTGCTTTTCTCCCAAGAAGCAGGCGATTTTTAATTTCGTGACTGCTGTCCCCATCTGCAGTGATCATGGAGCCCAGGAAAGTAAAATCTCTCACTGCCTTCATTTCTTCCCCTTCTATTTGCCAGGAGGTGATGGGACCAGTGGCCATGATCTTCGTTTTTTTGATGTTGAGCTTCAGACCATAGTTTGCGCTCTCCTCTTTCACCCTCAATAAAAGGTTCTTTAATTCCTCCTCATTTTCTGCCATCAAGGTTGTGTCATCTGCATATCTGAGGTAGTGGGGTATAGCTTCTCTAAATCAGGGCCTGTCCCTGGAATATAGATATTTCAGAGTGTCTGAAGTGGTACAGTGCAGGAATAGTTTTACCACTTAAGTTGTTTCCTATTCTAGTCCTACTCAGAGTAAACCCACAGAATAATTTCTTAATGCACTGCCTCTTGTGTACTCCATAGAGAAAAATGTGGTGTAAAAAATATCTAGGAAAACTAGGAGGAAATACATAGTAGCTTGCAAGTCATTTATTTTATTTTTTTTAAGCTGGACATCTACTGCAGTTCTGGCAAGAATCTGAAATGGCAGAGAAATGTCAAGTGAGCGTGAAAAAAAGGAGAGGTGGCAGAGCAGGTCTGGGTAATTTCAACCCCCCATTTGAAATGAGTAAATAAATATTTGTATAGTACACAGAAGGCATTTTTATAATCAAAAACTACCGACTTCTAAGTGACCACTGCAATTCTTGCACTAACAACTTGGAAATTTCCCAAGAGATATATTTTTTTTAGAAGTTTGAACAGCATTTGAGCTATTCCTCTGTCTAAATATACCAAACAATATCTCAAATATGAAAATAAATGCCAAAATGCCCTCTGTGCTGGTGGATTGTTGTTGCTCACCAGAGTTGGGTCTCTCAGAAAAGAGCCCAAAGATTTGAAGAGTCACTTGTTAATGACAAGCTAATGGTATTCTCTAAGCAGATGGTTAGCAACACATGTGGAAAATCCCTCCTCTCTGAGAGATTGTGATCTGTTTTTCACCTTATCACTGCTAGTATCACATTTAAAAAAATGTTCTGACACTATGGTTGGTTCATATTGCCCAAATCTCTTATTTCTGAGGAGCTGCGATTGGGAAAATGAGAGAGAGATAGAGAGAGAGCGCGCGCAGTGGAATGATGTATCCTGAACAAGGCATGGCTGTCTGTCAGGAACACTGAACAGGATCATTCCATACTCCAACATTTTAAAGAGGTAGGAAGATAAGAAGAGCCTGCTGAATCAGGCCAATGACCCATCTAGTCCTGCAAAACCCACCGAGAAGAATTGTGTTGTTGTTTTTTATTGCTTTGAGATATTTTAAGTAAAGTGATTCATAAACAGAATTAAATAAGCACATAAATGAATTAAATAAACACATAAATTTGATACCTCCCACCTGCTGCCCAAAGTGGTTCCGTCCTGTGGACCATACTCTAGCAAATATGGGGGATGGGGAGTTGGTTTAGAGATGCATCTGTAATATTCTGAGGCAATTGGGGAAGGGACAAAAGTCTGTGGTGATTTTTACCTCATCTTCTTCAGTAAGTGCCTTAAATAAATAAGTTTATTTTTTCATATTTATTTTGACTTACTCATCACAATATTTATGTTCCACCTGTTAGGCGGGCAACTCAGGGTGGTGTACAAAAAAAATGCAATGCAATAGTTCATTTGTTAATTATTGCAATGTAAAATACCAATGTTCAACCTTGCATTTTATTTTCACTCATATAAATTGGGCGTTCTGCTTAAAATGTAATAGTAATTACATTATTGTATAAGCCAAATACCATTAAGTTATGGTGTGGCCTAAGAAGTTATATAATGCTTTCAAAGCCATAATTGGTGTGTGTGTGTGTGTGTGTGTGTGTGTGTGCATAATATGAAATTACTTACATGAACATTTTTCTATATTCTGTAATTATATTATTTTTTGCCATTTTTCTTAAATACCACCATCACCTCGAAATAGAACAATGCAGTGGTTTCCCCCCTAAAAAAATGTTTAGAGGGTACTCTCATTTTCCTACGCATCTTGAAATACTGCCCCTCAATGAGGCCAAACTTAGATTCACAAAATGTTTAGGGGTATGCATACCCCTGCATCCCCCCAGAAAAAAAAGTACTGGAACAATCATGCAATCAAAAAACCTTACGTTCTACAGTGGCAGACAGCAATGGCCAGCCAAAGTCATGACAAATAATAATAATAATAATAATAATAATAATAGTTTTCAGCATGCACTGAAATGTTGCCGGGTGCCTTGTTTCTGAGAGAAGAATATTCCAGAGAATGGGCACCACCACAGAAAAGGCCCTCTTTCTGACTGTTATCAAATGGCTCTCTGCATGCTGCTCATCTTCATGATCTTATTTATTTTTATTACTTTTTATCCAGTCTTTCCTCAAAGGAGCTTAAAGTGGCATGCATGGTTTGCCACACCCAACCCAACCCCATTTTATCCTCTGAGGTGGTTCAACTAAGAGTCCAAGGTGGTCCTGAGGCCGACTTTTAATTTTGTGGCTGAGTGGGAATTTGAACCCTGCTTTCTCAGGTCCTAGTCCTACACCTGCGGGGGGCTGTGGTCTAAACCACTGAGCCTCTTGGGCTTGCCGATTGGAAGGTTGGAGGTTCGAATCTCCGTGACAGGGTGAGCTCCTGTTGCTCTGTCCCAGCTCCTGCCAACCTAGCAGTTCGAAAGCATGCCAGTGCAAGTAGATAAATAGGTACCACTGTGGTGGGAAGGTAAACGGTGTTTCCATGCGCTCTGGTTTCCTTCACAGTGTCCCATTGTGCCAGAAGCGGTTTAGTCATACTGGCCACATGACCTGGAAAGTGGTCTGTGGACAAATGCCGGCTCCCTTGGCCTAAAAGCGAGATAAGCGTGGCAACCCCATAGTCTCCTTTGACTGGACTTAGCTGTCCAGGGGTCCTTTACCTTTAGTCCTATACTCTAATCCACTTCACCACCCTGGCTCAAGTTAAGGACTGCATCGCTCTTGCAGGAGCAGCCAGCTCTTTGTGCATGTGATCATTTTGCAAAGAAAAAAGGAAGACAACATCCTTATCAATGAGCTGTGTTTTGCTTCACCAGGCTGCGTTTTAATGAAGGAACCTCCGAGCTGCTAACAATCACACAAACGGGAGGTGTAAGACCTTCGAGGCGAGCGATGCCGTCGTCATGGAAACTCACCCTGCTTCTGTCACTCACCAGCTGTCTTACAGGTAAGTACAAAACTCTTACGCTGCTGTGTTATGTATTTCATTTCATCTCTATCCCCTCCGTTATCAACCAAGCAATCCCTAGGCTGGGGAGAGAGGGTGGGTACATCAGATATGAAATCAAAATAACAGAAGTTATTGAACAGGGTGCAATTAAAGAAGTTACTTTATTAGGCACAGACATAACAGCAAACATGAGCACAAAGCTGCAATTGGCAAGCAACAATCAAGGAAACTAGTGTTGGGATAAAAGTATGGGATGCAGGAATCAGGATAATAATGTCCCCTCTACTGTCTTCTCCAGGGATCGAGCTTTCTGAAAATCTCAGTGTCAATCATATCTTTATGGATTTTCTCCCTCCTAATTCTTATCTAACTCCATGAATTCAGGTACAGCCCTGATCAGGTATCTAGCTCCAAGTTCAGGTACAGCCCTGATCCTCAAATTCGTTTGTTTCTCCTTCAATTCAATCATAGAAAACATCAACCTGTAGTCGTCAAGTTGCCTGTGTATCGGTGGTATCTTCTCTTCAGTGGCAGTTGCTATTTCCTTTGCTTCTTCAGCTGTCTTTCGAGTCTGGGTGGATTCCTGAAGCAGTTTCTCAATAGATTCTGTATTAGTATTCACCTTCTGTCCCAAGTTATTTATGCTTGTAGTGTTTTGGTCAATTTTAACTGATGCTTCAGCTACTTGTTTGTTTGTTTCAGCTACCTGTTTGTTTGTTTGTTTCAGCTACTTGTTTAGTTAAATTTTCCAAAGAAAATCTCAGTGTCAATCATATCTTTATGGATTTTCTCCCTCCTAATTCTTATCTAACTCCATGAATTAGAGAACTCGTTTGGTAAAGAAAACCCAAACAGTTATCATGTTTTATATGCATTATTATAACGGAGTGTAATATTCTACGCATATCCCACATTAACTAAAGTAGCAGGCACATGAACCAGTGTTTCCCAAACTCTGAGGGGGGGCACAGCCTCCTTGGTTCTATAAATACATGCCCAGTGGCCCCCCAGCCTATCAAAAGCATTATTCAAAATAGCATTTTGCACGACCCACTAAGATGACAGAACAATTCAAAGCAGTTAAAAATTAATTAGAACTTCATTCAAAATCCAATTAATACTACTTAGCTTAATTAATTCAACAAAATTGAGGAACCTCATCCAGTGATACCAGCTTTTCAAAGTCTGATAGTCATGTACACCTCTGCCACCCAGTTGCCTCTTAGCGCCCCGCTAGGTAACCTCACTGCCCCATCGAAGAGGTAGTACTACTGACTCAAAGAGATAATGCAACAAATGCATATAACTGTATAAACATACTCAGGTATTAATACTTAGAAAATTAAGCTGCAGAAATATAGTACTTCACAGGGCCTGACTCTTACATACATTTGATAAGTGTAATGTTTTTGGCCAATTTTGGAGCATGTTGAATGTCTGTAGTAGTTTATGTATTCAAATGAAGTGATGTGTTCCACAGGTATGCAACCTGAAACCTATTTTATTTGGGTCTCAATGCTTCCTGAAGTTTCCTCAAACTTCTATCCTGTCAGAGTTCCTTCCTTCCTGTTCATTACCTCCTCATCCTCAGCACACCTGTTTTTAACTTAGTAACTAGATGCATGTCTATTTATTACACAAGTGGGAATAAATGTTTTGACTGATCAGCACAATACATTACCGCGGCTGATGTTTTGTATGGCCTTATCAGTTGTATTCTACAAAGCATTTCTGATAGGGCCCAAACATGCGGGCAGAAAGAAGGGCCATAATCATTTCTTTTTAAGGCTGAGAAATTCCATATATTATTATCAGCGGCTGCACTCCATATACAGCGGAGGCGACACAGCCCCTTTGAAATGTAAACCGCCAAAAAAGAGAGAGACGGAATTAGCATTACAAAACAATATTGCACAGCGTTTGAAATGAAATGCTAATCAGAGTATTATTTTGAAGAATCGCAAAACACAGGAAGCATTAGTCAGTCAGCTAGGAATGCTGTTTAAAATTAAATACCTGTTCTGCCTTTTAGTTTGCAATTCCTATTGATTCCTGCCAGGTATTCACTGAGGTCTGTGTTATCCCATTTAATTCATTCTCTAGATCCCCAGATTTATTGCAGCTTTGCTAAAGAAGATTATTGTATAAAAATAATGTTTGCTTCAGTGTTACTGTGCACTACATTTACCCCAACAAATGGCGTTCACATTTTGAACATTTGCATGAGGTAATTTGCTGCACTATGCCTTGCTATCTGTTATGCAACAACTAGAAATACCATATTTTTCGCTCTATAAGATGCACCAGACCACAAGACACACCTAGTTTTTGGAGGAGGAAAACAAGGGGGGGGGGGAATTCTGAGTCTCAGAAGCCAGAACAGCAAGAGGGATCGCTGTGCAGTGAAAGCAGCAATCCCTCTTGCTGTTCTGGCTTCTGGGATAGCTGTGCAGCCTGCATTCACTCCATATGACGCACACACATTTCCCCTTACTTTTTAGGAGGAAAAAAGTGAGTCTTATAGAGCAAAAAATACGGTATAGCCTTCCTTATAAAACGGTGGATGTGAACCTCTTTTGGTTCTGCGAGACAGATCCTTATCAGATCCTAGCCTCAAGGGGCAAGTTTGACAGGTGGGTGGGGCTGTCAATCACCTGTCAATCATTTGATGGAGTCTAGGGGTGTGGCAAGGGGGCGCAGAGCGAGGAGAGGCACAAGTAATCCACACCCCTTTCAGCTTGGTCTCATGACCTAACAACTCGGTGGAACTTAGCTGGCAAAAAGAGTGGCACAAGTCTAATTCCTCTGGAGCGGAGTTTGGAACAGGGGGAACATAAGCCAGCGTAAGTTATGCCAGGTTTCTGTAGCTAGGACTGTTCCACTTGCCACACAAAGGGCAACCGCGGCCATGTTGATGTCATTAAAATTCTACTCAATATTGACCCACAGTAGATCCCAACATATATTTAGCAGAGTAAAAACGTAAACACGTTGCAGGATTCCCCCGAAATAGACCAGAGGCAATTAATATTTCATCCAGCAGAGCTTTACTGCTACTGGAGGCAAATGAGCATAGTGGTCGCAAATCCAACACATCCAGGATAGGCACTGTCCATAAGAAATCCAGTTGCAGCAGACTTGAACTTACTGTTATGCACTGAAGTTCTCACCCTGGGCCAGCAGGGGAATACTGTAGATAGTTATGCAAATAAGGGATTGAAAGTGACGTTCAGTGATTGGATAGTTTTAGAAAATTGTTACAGTTACATTGTACTGGAGCTCTATATAAGTAGGCTGACTGAACCCTTCAGTTCAGTTCTGTCCTGGCCTGTGAATAAAAAAGAGTTGTTTGAAGAATCGCTGTGTCGTCTGATATGTTCACCCACAACTTAACACTTAAATAACTTATAATAAGTCTAAACCTTAACACTAAGCATACAATGTACAGAACACCACACCAGAAGGAAGAGAGATAGAATGAGAAAGTGAAACCCAGGCTCCTTCTGGCCTATTATTATAGTCAGCATGACCTTGACTGAAAGAGATAAGAGAACCTGTTTAAGCCAGCTGTACTCAGCTTCTCTGAAGGTATAACCCAAACATCATGAACCTTATGCTTGTTTCTTTCACACAGAGAAGCTTCCAGAACCCTCTTGAATTTTTTAGAATAGGGAAGATCTCTACACATCAGATCAGTTCTTTCTGCACTAAGAAATGCAGAAATACAGTTGACTCATAATAAAAATGGCAAAAGTCTTGGTCTTATCAGCTGTTGGGGAACCGCTGTAGATCCTCTCATACAACAGAGCTTCCTCTCCTGCTCCTGTCCCCTCCAAGCCCTTGCAAACTTTTCCCTTTTCTTGTGAGGAATCCTATTCGGAATAAGGGAATTTCTCTTTAAAATGGGGAAACGTTGACAGCCTTGCAGCCTATGCCTTGCAAACCCTCAAAATGGTGGTCTGGTTGTGGAGGAGTAGGGGACCATTCAGAGCACACGGAGGGCACAGGAGGGAAAAGGGAGGAGAAGGATACAACCCTTTTGTGATGTACTAATATACGAAGACTCAAGAAAAATATCCAGCTACTGGAAAATAAATTAAAAAGTGATACCTGATACGTAAGTGTTTATATAGCTATGCCTATGTATATTTTGTTATATCTTCCTGCTTAGAGAATAGCAATATGCTAATTACATATTGGTTTTTAAAATGTGAACATATTGTGTGTGTAAATGCATGTGTGTGCATATATTTACACACACACAATGCCCATCATGATGACAGGCGGAGAACTTTCAGTGGGCAGGTTTATCATAGATCCCTGAAGGGGTTAGAAACGCCTTTGGAGAACTGTGTCAAGGAGAATGGAGGGCAGACTTTGCTTTTGCTGTAATGTTTTTACTATGTCCCATAGTAGGGAATGGCAGCATTTGCTGATAATCTGGAAATTTAAAGGGATTATTTATTTATTTATTTATTTATTTATTTATTTATTTATTTTACTATTTTACTATTTCTCCACTTCATCCAGGAATCACAGGGCAGTTTACAATATAAAAACACAAAAATACATAACACAGTAGCAAACAAAACAATATCCGCCCCCCCACACCTATACAGTTTTAAGGCCAGAGTTTAAGTAGCCAGGGGCCTGGGAGAAGAGGAATGTTGTTGCCTTGTGCAATAAGCATGGTTTATTGGGGGATGTGGATTAAACATTCCCCACTAAGCCCTGCCATTAGGAATCAAACTTAACTTATACTGTTTCTGCATAGCACCGGATCTTCCTCTCTTATTGGTCATGCTAGAATGTGCCAAAATGTTGGCTTTCTGGGACGGAATATATTTTTCCTGGCTGAAACATAATTGAATTCAAAGCTGATGGGATCAGGCTGGTTGTCAAGGTAATTCTAACAATGTACTGTTGGCTTTGTCCCTTTTGACATTTGATCACATTACTCTACAATTACACACGTGTTGTTGTGTTACCGCAGTCAC